TATGCCCTGGGCAGGTGGGCGTAACCTGTCTCTTAGTACAGTGAGTGCTGTACTCTGAGGAGCATGAAATTTTAAAAATCGGAACAATCATTTAGAATTTCAGTTAGGACATTGCTGCAGTTAAACCATAACACTGTGCCTGTTCTCAGCTGGAGGAGGCAGGGCCTGGGTTTCTTACTCATTTTGGCACTTTTGTTTTAAAGAACACTACATTTTAATTATTCCAGAAACATTAAGAACCTTTTTTGGGGCCAAGGCATATTGCTGGTTGCTGGAGCTCTAAAGAGGAATAAAAGTCGATCTCAGCGCTGGGTGGGAGAGAAGCCAGACAAGTAAACAAAGAGTGTTACATAGTCCATGCCCGGTGCAGTGGAAAGTCTGGAGCCGGGAATATCTATTTTCCATGGAAGTGGTGAAAGTCAAATGGTTCTTGCCCTGATTACTGTTTTTAACAATACTTAAAAAAAAAAATTCCTTCTTTCCCCCAGTAATTTTATACATTTGTTGGGAATTTACTTTTCCTATTCTGTGTGAGGACCTGGATGTGAACCAAGAACTCTTCCCTTCCCATCCGGAACCAGGCCCCTTTGCCCCAGCCAATTTCAAGAACCTCCTAGTTCAGGGAAGCAGAGAGGTGGAAAAGTTAAGAGGTGACAAAACCCAAAAAATGTTAGAAGATTGTTTACCTCCAGGAAGGGGACTTGGGCTGGAGGTTGCAGGGGTAAGTCGGAGACTTCTATACCATTTGAATTAATAATATATAGAGAAAAATAAACCAATCAACAAATATTTAAGTAAGGGCTCTATTATTCACTCAGAAGATATTGAGCACCTAAATCACATCGGAATACTGCAATAAACAAATGGAAAATGTCCCTATACTCAAGGACCTCATTTTCTAGAAGGGAATAGGAGTAAACAATCAACACACTTTGAAATAGATATAAGCCTGTAAAGGAAATAAAGCAGGGTGTTGTGAAAGAGTGAGGGGGGGGCAGCGTGAGCTTGCATGCGTAACGATAGAGGATATAGGATTCCTATATAGGAGAGGCTTAGGGGCAAAAACCTCGCTCTGGAGAGGTGTTTACTCAGCTTTAAAGTTTCTGTTTACCTAGGAAGCACACTATTTTTACATACAAGTCATGTTACAGATCAATAAAGAGTAGAAGTTTTCTAAAGTTATTTTTATTTACACTTCACATGAAATTGAGAAAATGTTAACTATCTGTATCAAAGAATTTATATTTCTCACTAGGAGAGAAGTGTTGGAGGGAGGGTGCTAAAAACCACTCCTTGGCTTTGGCCACGGATTATCAGAGAACACCTCTCTCTCTGATATATACAAAAGGGTTAAGCTCCAGTCTTCTGAGAGCTTAAAATTAAGTTTGGACTAACACACAAAAAAGACACATTTATACATCAGTTAGCAAATATTTGGAGAAGACGACTATTTACCCTTCACTGCTTCTTCAGTTATGTGATCTCAGGGAATTTCCCATGTGTTTCCATTGTTAAAAACCACCTTGAGTTTAACCTTTGAAAAGTGTTAGAACAACATATATGGTCAGGTGTTAATATCCATAAAGTGCCACAATAAGAAAAACAGACAAGAGAGATAAATGCAAATGGCCATTAAGCCCATGAAAACTGCCCAGTGATATGAATCAAAACAAAACTACAAACATTAAGTACCCACTGATGTCCAGAATTCACCAACGGTGTACTCTAATCCACCGCTTGTGAGAACGTAAATTTTTTTTTCTGGAAGGCAGTTTGGCAGTTTATATATACTTTGAGCCAGTAATTCTCACTTCTTTGAATGTATCCTAAAGGATAAAAAACAAAACACAGAGGAAAAACAACACGAGAAGGAACAATATTCATTACGGGGTTACAACTGAAAAATTGTCAGAAACTTCTGTGTGCGACAGTAAGGGACGGATTAAATCACAATTTGATGTAGTACTAGAGAAATTTTTTCTCAAGTTGCTTTGAAATTTGCAGCGAGCTGAGCCAATCTGTTTTGCCAACACTTGCCCACGTGCTGGCAAACAAATATAAACACCGTGGCCGCGTGGTGGGCACTTGGTTTTGTGCTTAGGGCCGAGTGTGGTGCTGCTTTATTTACTGTGGGCAAGTGGGGGGCGGGCGGTGGAGAGCGGGAACGGCAGAGGGGCCTGTGGCCTGCGGGCGCTCCCCTCGCGGCGGACACACCGGCCCCTAACAGACTCTCTGGGGGAAAACTGAGGCTCAGAGGTCGCCCCGCATCCAGTGACCTCGCCTCGAGAACTCGAGCGTCAGTCTTCCGGCTGACTTCGGTATTGGCCTAACCCATTTGCACACGGTCGCAAGGGCCCAGAGGCCGGAGGCACCATTCCCGACTCAGACCTAGACCCTGCAACCAGACTCCCCACAGCCACGCCCACTGAGCCCCAGGGCCCGGCACCAAAGGGATGCGGGACAGGAGGTCGGTCTCCCTGGGCAGCGCCCAAGGGCCACGGCGGTCCCCCGCTCCCCGCGACCCGCAGGGACCCCGAGGGCTCCCCCATCGCAAGTCCCGCTCCAGATTCCGGGGAGCCGGAGGGGCGGCGAGGAAGTCGTGTCCAGGCCGGCGCCCGGCTCGGCCTAGTCCAGTCCGCACCCTTCGCTCCTCCCAGAGCGCTGCCTCTGCTCCGCAGCCCGGCCCTGTTCGGGCGGCGGCGGACCCAGCTCCCAGCCATCCAGCTCGCTCATAGGACCGCGGCACCGCGCCCGCCCAGGCCTGGATCCGCGCGGAGCGGGGGGGCGGGGGCGGGGGGGGCGGGGCGGGGGCGGAGCCAGCGGGTTCGCGCCAAAATCGCGTAGTTGATCCCTCCCCCGCGGGCTACGTCGCGCCCTCCTTTTTTTTCAAACCCCGGGCTGGGCGGGGATTGGTGGACTGGGCACTCACGTGGTTAACGGTCGCGGGAAGCCGCGGAGCCCGAACTTGCTGCTGGACCTGCGGAGACCCCAGCCTCGGCGCCAGGGCCCCCCCGCCTCTGCAGAAGAGTCCGCGCCGCCGCCGCCGCCGCCGCCGCGCAGCCGCGGCCACCAGGCGCGCCCAGTCGCACGTGGCGGACCCGCCCCCTGGGCCGGCCTTGCCCTGGACTCCGCGGGCCCAGCTTCTCCGGTCCTCCGCCCCGGCCCCGTGGGCGCGATGAGCTTCCTGAGCCGCCAGCAGCCGCCGCCGCCCCTCCGCGCCGGGGCCTCGTGCACCTTGCGGCAGAAGCTGATCTTCTCGCCCAGCAGCGACTGTGAGGAGGAGGAGGAGGAAGAGGAGGAGGAAGGCAGCGGCCACAGCACCGGGGAGGACTCGGCCTTTCAGGAGCCTGACTCGCCGCTACCGCCCGCGCGGAGCCCCACAGAGCCCGGGCCCGAGCGCCGCCGCTCACCCGGCCCGGCCCCCGGCAGCCCCGGAGAGCTGGAGGAGGACATGCTGCTGCGGGGCGCCTGCCCGGGCGCGAACGCGGCGGGCGGCGGGGCCGAGGGCGACTCGTGGGAGGAAGAGGGCTTCGGCTCCTCGTCGCCGGTCAAGTCGCCTGCGGCCGCTTACTTTCTGGGCAGCTCGTTCTCGCCTGTGCGCTGCGGCGGCCCGGGGGATGCGTCCCCGCGGGGCTGCGGGGCGCGCGGGGCTGGCGAGGGCCCCTGCTCGCCGCTGCCCGACCACCCGGGCACCCCGCCCCACAAGACCTTCCGCAAGCTGCGGCTCTTCGACACGCCGCACACCCCCAAGGTGAGAGGACGCAGCTGCTGGGGCGCCCCGAGCCCGCGCCGGCCTAGCCTTTTAAAAAGGCAGTGGCGCCGGGAGCCGAGCGCGGCTCTGCCCGGGTTCGGTTACATAACCGCCGGGCCGCACCCGCGCTCGCTCTTCGGCGCCGCAACTAAAAAGTTGGCAGCCCCTCTTTTGGGCCCTGCCCAGAAGTTGTCCGTTAAGATTATGTAACTGAACAATTGGCCTCGTCTGGAACTTTTTCATCTTTCAAAGGGGCTGATCGGCGCCGTCCAGGTGGCTGACGATTTAACGCCCGCCGAGTCGGGGCCTCCCCGAGCGTGGCAGCGGGGAGTGTGGCACCGATAACGTGGTTTGAAATGATGCTCGAGTGGTTCTGGCCCGACCACCTGACACTCCCGAGCGCCGCAGCCATCAGGTGCCTTTTAAACGCAGTGTTCTGTCTTGTAATTTGGGCGGCGCACGCAGGAGTTCGGTTAAAAAAAAAAATTCATGCGCTTATCGTTTCGTATCAGGTGGCCTTATGGGGGAAAGTTTGAGATACGGAGGGAGACTGCGCTTCGACTTGGGAGAAAAGGCTGGCCTTCAAACATTTACAGTCTTAAAAAGATTCGTAAATAACTCAGGGGTAGCGTTTAAGCCTCTTTCCGGACAGAATATTTATTGGGTAAGCATTTGTTTACACCTTGGGTTTGCAGTTCCCAAGTTTGGTCAGCCTAAGTGTCAGGATTAGGAACGTCCAACTGTTAAAAACCAGCATTGGTGTTGTTGCCTGGACCCTCAGGCTTTCCTATACCGTTGATAAGGTATCTTAAAGAAGTAGGTGTTCAGCACCTGTTTGCTGAATGGCTAGTGAGTAAGCAGATGACCACTTCTAGAACTTTAGAAGTAACACAAGATTTTAAAACGGACACTTCCCGAAATTAAGACAGGTGCCGCATTTATAAGATTAATGCAGGAAATGCACCTTTTTAAGTGAGTCAGTTTCAGTACCGTTACTAGTCATAAACCTCAGGAAGATGTGTGCTTTTGTGCTCTACTGTTTGCTAGCCGACTTGCCCACGGCAAGATCCCTCTGGAAGTGAGGGGAGGAGTCCTACGGAGGAGGCTTTCAAAGCCCTACTTGGATGGGGGAGGGGAACTTTTATGGGGCTCCCTGACTGCTTTCCACTTTTAGATGGATTGAAAGGTTTTGTTAACTTTTATCCTCTAGAATGAACTTAATTTTAGTTTGCATTTATATTCTTTTTAGGGTTAGAGACCTTATTGTACTTGGCCTTTTCAGAAAAGGTGGTTAGTATCCAGCTTCAGGCTCCTAAGTTAACCACTGTTTATTTTGCTTGAAAGATAACAAAGGCTTGTGTGTTGCTTTGACCTACACATTCAGCCTCGTGAAAGCCTTGTTGAAAGTTAGGTTGAGAAGGCCAGCTATAGCACTTGGATCCTAAACAATTTTTTTCCCCCTCCTAGAGTTTGCTCTCCAAAGCTCGAGGAATCGATTCCAGTTCTGTTAAACTCCGAGGTGGTTCTCTATTCATGGATACAGAAAAGTCAGGAAAAAGGGAATTTGACATACGACAGACTCCTCAAGTGAATATTAATCCTTTTACTCCGGATTCTGTGTTACTTCATTCCTCAGGACAGTGTCGTAGAAGAAAGAGAACATACTGGAATGAGTAAGTTATTTATTATTCAACAGTTTGGTTCCCTAACCACCCAAGATTTGTTTGGTATACTTATTAAAATTTAGTTTCAACTGAATGACATGGAAGTTTATGCACTGAGAATTTTCTCCATTATTAGCAATTCTCAATAATCACCTGTGGAAAAGAGTAGTATGGGAAAGGAAGGAATAAAAAGCCTAGATAGTAGGAAATCTACTGGTGTCAAAATGAGACAGGCAGAGAAGGTTGATTTCCAAAGGCTTTAATTTTGATATGTGTGGTGGTGTTGGTGTGTATCTAAGCAAGAACAATATTTCCATCAGTTGAACTGTATCTTGTCATTACAAAATTAAATGCTTTATTTTCTTTTTTCATTCATTAAATTTTCATTTTGTTATATACCTGTCAGAAAAAGTTTTGGATCTCTAGTTGATGTATCTGTCAGATATGTTGATGGAAAAAATAATATTTTTCAGTTCCTGTGGTGAAGACATGGAAGCCAGTGATTATGAGTTTGAAGATGAAACAAGACCTGCTAAAGTAAATAGCTTTTGATTTTATTGTTTTTGAAATTTGATTTTCTACATCTTAACAAGCTACCACATATACATGTTAAATAAGCCACATATGCAAGCTACCATATATGCATGTTAAAACATAAGATATAATTTTTAGGGAGGAGTCAAGATGGTGGAATAGGAGGATGCGGAATTTGTCACTCCTCACAAGTTCATCAAAAACACATCTACAAATGGAACAATTCCCACAGAGCACCTGCAAAACATAAGATATAATTTCAAAATTTCACACATAGTCCTATCACCATAGTAAAACAACCATTTTCATACCTTTGTATTATATATATATATATATATATATATATATATGGATACACTTTTTATTACAGAGAATTACAATTACTGAAAGCAATATGAAGTCACGGTATACAACAGAATTTCATGAGCTAGAGAAGATTGGCTCTGGAGAATTTGGTTCTGTGTTTAAATGTGTGAAGAGGCTGGATGGATGCATTTATGCCATAAAGCGATCAAAAAAGCCATTGGCTGGCTCTGTTGATGAGTATGTATTAAAGATTTTGTCATCTTTTGTTCAGTATGATGTTACAAATGTTAAGGTTTTAGGTGGTCAGTCATTGAATTTAATTCTCTAACGTTTGAGAAGTTGTAATGATTTAATCAGATCCATTTCATTTTGTGCCATTAGTTCTTACTGGACTTGGAAGAATAATATAAGGGGTCTGATCTTGGAGCCTAACTTAAATTTCTTATTTCTAGTAGCATCCATGAATTCATAGTAAAGTGGAGTTTCATCTTTTCTGAATTCTAGGGCCAGCAAGCTTCCTTCTTTCTAACATTCTTTAATGGAAGTCTTTGGAAAAATCTGGTACAGAGTTTTAACTCCCTCTCTTTCAAGCAAGTTGTCCTTCAGCATAATGATAGATCCAGAAGTCAAGATTCTTTTATGAACTTTCAGATAAATTAACTCAGTTCAGGCTTGAATAAAAATGATTTACCATTCTCTTAATCTCAAACTTCTAGGCAGAACGCTTTGAGAGAAGTATATGCTCATGCAGTGCTTGGACAACATTCTCATGTAGTTCGATATTTCTCTGCATGGGCAGAAGATGACCATATGCTTATACAGAATGAATATTGTAACGGTGAGTAATATAATGGTTCCCCTGTAAACTCATGAGCTCAAGAAAATGAACACCAAGGAGATACTTCTTTTTATCTAAAGTCTTGCTCTAATTCTGTATATCTTTTATCTCTTGTAAATTCAAAGATCAGAAGCCTGATATTTGAATTCCAACATGAATTTCAAGTGCAAGTAATTCTTACGTGGAAGTTAATATTGAAAACCTTGTTCTTGCTACCTGGATTGTAGAACCGTGCATATTATTTGTATGCCTGCTACTCAAATTAAACTGATTTTCTTGAGAGGACAGCAGGCTTGCCATATATATTTTGGTATCCCTAGCACTTAGCATAGTGTGTGTGGGGGATATAGTAGTTAATAATCCAGGCTCCCTGCATCTAGCCTTCCCTTTCCATTTCATTTTATGTGCTGCTGAAACTGATATTGGTTACTCATAAAATGACAGTGACTCTCCATTGATATAAATTTAGCCATTTGTTGAATCTTGCTCCCCCTTCCATCTATCCAACCTAGTTTACCACTAAAATCCACTGAGATGTTTCTGTAAAGTAAGAGTTATGCTCTTTTAGTTCCCTAGTTGTGCCTCCCTCCCTCCTTCCCCCGCTAAAACAAGCATTTATAGAGGTTTAACTTTGGACCTTTGTATAGCTTTGAATTTCATCAGGTCCTTCAGCAATCAACGTGTGTCCTTCCTTTTTTTTTTTTTGTCCTTCCTTTTTTATTAAAGCTTTACCAGAGTCCTGGCCTCACTTCTGATTCTTACAGACAGCTGTTATTAAATACCTAAGTCTTTATATATGATGGATTTTTATTTCTGTATATCTTCGGTGAATATTAGAGAATTTAGAATTTAATGAACAGTCGAATAGCAAAGATTATTTTTGTTGATTCTCATTTTTTCTTAAGACCAGCCATTTCATAGCTTGTGAATAAATAAGTGGTATAGGTAGTAGATTCAGGTTTTCTGTATTTGAAAACAATGAACAAAACAGAAGTAAAAGACTCATTTCTCATACCTGATTTCTCAGAGTTGTCATTTTAATCCCCACACTTGAAAGAATAAGGGCTCAGTATACAGCATTGATGCTGTTTTGTTTCATACATCTCTTGAAATGTTTCTCTTCATACCATCAAAACATTTTTGAAGCTATCGCCCATGGCCTTGTGTTTCTTAACCTCCATTTTTTAGTAACTGCATTTCATAATAGTACAACTTTACCGTAATAGCTTCTCCCCTCCATATTTGCTAGATGCTGTCTCCTTTTAGTTTCTTTCTGCCTCTCACCTTGTTGGATGTGGCTGGCTCTCTTAAGTCTTTCAGCCACAGTCCAGATACATGGTTATGTCATTCAGATGATTTTGAGAAAACTCTTGGGCCTGGGAGTTGGGAGGGAATGAGCCATCTTGCTAACACTCTCAGATTACAGAGACCTTGTCCTGTAATAAAGTTAGATTATAAAATAATCTTTTGAAATAGTTTATTATTTTGGAGCATTGTAAAACACTTAAGGAATATGGATCTTTAAAAAACAAATAGACCTCTGTAAAGTAGGACTGCCTCTTTGTATGGTTGTTTATTTTGCTTAGATGAAAGACAGTGAGGCTATCTAGATACATTTGTGAGCTCTTCTTTTGTTTCCCTTTTCCACCATTCTCTCCACATAAACCCTTGAATGTCCTAATAGGCCTGGTCTTTATATCCTTTTCTACAGTTTCACAGGGAAGGATTCTGTTGTCATTCATTTGTTGTGTTGATTAACTGATATCCTTTATCTTAACTGAATTTCCTTATTGTCTGAAACATCGTTTGCATTTTGAGCCTTTTTTCTTGGTTTGGTGATAGACTGAATTTCTACTCTTGATAAACAGGTGTAGAAAAATGTTGATCGATAGGGGAGGAGAACCTGAAATATCAGATCCGTCGTTTGCTTTTCTCACCTCTTGCCCTTTCAGCAACAAGATAGAAGGAACTGGCCTAGCTGTAGTTGCTAGACCCACTAGAAAGCAGCCATGTTATTTCTTGGTAAACTTGATCTAGGACTCCAAGCTCATCTGTCTGACAGGCTTCTTGACCTGCTCCTTCCTAGACCCCTCTTCTTCCTGCAGTTCAAGATTTGTTCAAGTTAAGTTCAGAAAACATACTTAATCCTAAGTGTGTGATTTATTTATTTTTTTTAAACACATTTGACGTTTTGTTATTCAGTCTTGTTCAAATTATAGGACCTCCTTTTCTGAGTAGTATATCATTGACCTAGATTTTATTACCTTGGTTCTGATTTTATTATTCCCAACTAAGCTTTAAACGGAAGTGGTTTATTTATTTATTACAATAACTCCTCGTTTCCTCTGAGACAGACTATAAACAAAGTTTTTAAGTATAAAGTTTTTTAAAGTATAAACAAATTAGCTAATTGGTTTGACTGATTCTATAAAAGTAGGTTATGTTCTTATTCATAGTAAGGGTAGTATAAATTAAAACGATACTAAGATACTGTTTTTTTTTTTTTTTTATCTTTCTGTTTTTGTTTTTGTTTTTTGCGTACGTGGGCCTCTCACGGTTGTGGCCTCTCCCGTTGTGGAGCACAGGCTCTGGACGCGCAGGCTCAGCAGCCATGGCTCACGGGCCCAGCCGCTCCGCGGCATGTGGGATCTTCCCAGACCGGGGCACGAACCCGTGTCCCCTGCATTGGCAGGCGCACTCTCAACCACTGCGCCACCAGGGAAGCCCTAAGATACTGTTTTTTACTTACAAAATTTTTAGACTCTGTTGTTAAGTGTGTAGGAAAATAGGTATTCTCACACATTAAACATGGGAGTATGAGTTGGAACAGCCTTCTCTAAGGGGCACTCTATGTGTGTGTGTTATTGCCCCAGATTTATCTTCCAAATCCCCAGATTTACATAAGCTTATGCTAGCAGAATTTAAGTATTAGCCATTTTGAAATCAGAAACTAAGTGTACTGTTATTTTATGTGAGTTTTCAGAGGCAATCAGATCTTGGCACTGATGGTGTGAATACCAACTCTAAGCTCTTTTGCAGGATAAACAGAAATGGCCCTCTCAGCTACAGAAATTTATTCTATATGTAATAAAACACTGTCTCCCACACACACTATGCATGTGTGTATTATATTGTACATACCGTTTGACCCAGCAGTTTGTTTGTAGGAGATATACTAAATATGTGTGAAATGACCAATGTACGAAGTTATTCCTGCGACCACAGTATGTAGTATTAAGGCTTGGAAATTATTTCTAAATGTCCATCAATTAGGGGATTGGTTAGTGCATTACCTTTCAATTATACAGTGGAATTCTGTAGACACAAGAAAGAAAGGGGTAGTTTTGTATATTGGTAGAGAATGATCTTCAAGATAATGAAAATATGTTTTCGCTTGTGTAAAAAGGAGTTGAAAAGAATACGTAAGAAACTGATAACATTGATTTGCTCTGGGAAAGTGAACCAGGTGCATTGCTGAAGTATGTATTCATAAGACAGAGACTTTACATTGTACTTTGTACCCATGTGAGTGTATTACCTACTGAAAGAACAAATAAAATTTTGATTTCACAAACAGGTTGAAGAGAATAGGTCCTATATAAAATGTCACTTTCTTGGTTGCATGTGGTCATACAGTAAAGATGGAAGAAAAATAATATTTCAGGAAGAAGAAAATTCTAGTTTTTCTTGTGTTTGTTAGGTGGAAGTTTAGCTGATGCCATAAGTGAAAACTACAGAAGCATGAGTTACTTTACAGAAGCAGAGTTGAAGGATCTCCTTTTGCAAGTTGGCCGGGGCTTGAGGTATATTCATTCAATGTCTTTGGTTCACATGGATATAAAGCCTAGTAAGTATTATAGATCCTCTGACCTGTGATTTTTAGGGTTATAGAGAATAAATGATTTCATTAAAATAACATGGGAACATAAACATCTTACTTCGTTTTTTCATTGTTAGTTTTAAAAGATTTTTGACCCACTTATTAGTATTGTTTTATTTCCCATCACCTCTTCCCTTGTTATCCCAAATTTGAAATAACAAACTCACTTTTACTAAAAGTTAAAAAAAAAATGTGCTGCATCTTATGGGAACCATATAGTCTCGGAGTGGGACTTTGGGGAGACTAAAAGAACCTGTGTTTAAAGCCCGTCTCTTGTACTAGGCTATAGACCATAATTTTAAATTAATGCTGGTGCCACTAACATGGTTATTAGAATAAAATGATAAATTTGAAAACATAGGTGCTACAAACCTGGAGGTATTTCTAGTCTGTAAAAGAAATAATAAAATTGTCACTGTATGACCCAGAAAACAAAATGATAGATGTATTGTGATTATAAATGTATTTAAAGTGTAGCAGATAAATAAGCACTGGAGAGTTTAGGAACATAGTGGTTTTATTTTTTTTTCTCTTTACCGTTAGATCATTTTCAGCTAAAAAATTGATTTTTATATATAAATGGCTGTAGTAGATCGACCATACTATGGCTCAGAACAACCTCATAGTATTCTTTCAAAGACTTATGAGGTTTCAAACTGAAGGTGCAGTGGTACGAATCAAGGTGTAGGCCTACATAATTTTATGTTAAACTGAAACAAAATTGTATTACAGAAGTAGTAATTAGTACATTATAGAATATTTTAAAATATAGACAAGCTGGACAAAAAAAATTAAATCCTCATTCTTCTATTAATCTTTGGAACTACAGTTATAATGTCAGTGCTGCTAACAGGGTTATTAGAATAAACTGAGCTGTGAAGATGCTTTGAAAACTTATGTGCTGTACAAACATGGTGGTATTTCTGGCCTGTAGAATGCCATCAAAATGTTACTGTTTTATTCAGGGAAAAAAAAGGTACATGCGTTTAGATTATCTTGCATTAAAAAAAGTATGCAGGGCTTCCCTGGTGGCGCAGTGGTTGAGAGTCCACCTGCCGATGCAGGGGACACGGGTTCGTGCCCCGGTCTGGGAAGATCCCACATGCTGCGGAGTGGCTGGGCCCGTGAGCCATGGCTGCTGAGCCTGCACGTCCGGAGCCTGTGCTCTGCAGCGGGAGAGTTCAGAATCCAGTTGTTACAAAAAAAAAAAAAAAAAAAAAAAAAAAAAAGTATGCAGGTGAATCCTACACTAACATTTTAGTGCAAATCCCTCTCATTTAATCAAAAATAACATCATAATGTACATACTGTTTTATAACTTTTTTTGTTTTTCTGTGGTACGCGGGCCTCTCACTGTTGTGGCCTCTCCCGTTGCGGAGCACAGGCTCCGGACTTGTAGGCTCAGCAGCCATGGCTCACGGGCCCAGCCGCTCCGCAGCATGTGGGATCCTCCCGGACCGGGGCACGAACCAGTGTCTCCTGCATCGGCAGGCGGACTCTCAACCACTGCGCCACCAGGGAAGCCCCATAACTTTTTTTTTAAGACAACTGTCTCTACCTTTCCATTTCAGTAAATTTTTATCTCATCTAGTAGCCAGATCATATTAAAATTTTTCCTAGTTGACCAAAGTCCTTAACAGTTGATTCGTCCAAACTCATTTCCATTTTATGACCATGCATTACACCAAGTTAAATCCATTTTTCTTTTTTAGGTTTTACCCTTCCCCTACTTAAATAATAAAAATAATACAGACCTTGTCTTGCAAGATTTCCTTTCTTCTGGGTTTGACTGGTTGCTTCCTAGTGTATTCCTTTCTCTGTCCTATAAATTAGAAGTTATAACTAAAAGGTTGATGGATTTAAGTTAAACATTGTAGGCTAGGTGTTTTTAAGTTGAATTTAATGAGGTTTTTTTTTTTTTCTTTTTTAATCTATGGAAATACGTGTGATTCACGGGAATTTAAATCATTTTGCACAACTTAGTTATATGAATTATGTGAAGAATTTTTGTACATTAACTTGCTAAATGTTTATTTTCAAAAAGGAAAAACTATATTTGAACTGATGGCAGTTAATGTGGATCAGTAAGGTTTGCCCATACTCACTCATAGCTTGTATTAAATGTCAGACAAACATAGTGGATGCTTATATTACAAGTACAAAAGTTGAAAATATTAAGGTTTATGAAGTTTTAAATTTACAAATATCACCATAAAATAAGTTGTCCTGTAAATAAAGCAAAATTGGAAAGATGACTCTAGTGAATGTAACATTTATAAATTCTATACTATATTGATAAAACTACTAAAATAAAATCTGCCACTAAAACTTATGTTAATCATGAGCTTACCTGAATTAGAAAAAAAAAATGTGTACAGCAGAAATAGTGAACCACAGAACCTCATTGGGATGTAGATGCTGTATGGTCAGCCAAACTCAATAGCTACATGACTTATTCTTTTCACACCAGCCTTGTAGCATTACATTAAAATTTGTTCTTTGGCAGCATCACAAATTAGTATGTTAATTGCATTTTGTATTATTTCTAAGTAAGTAAAACTGCTGAAGATCAGTGTGTAGGTGACAAGGGTCTAATGCAGTGGTTTCCAAGTGTTCAAGGAGCAGTGCTAGGCCAGAAAATATATTCCTAGAAAATATAGTCCCAGTTCTTGTCCCCTGAGATTTTCATTCTCACTGGGTTTGGGGTAGAACACATAAGAATTTATATATTTAAAAGCTTTCTGGTTGATTCTGTTATATGACTTGTTTGTGAACTTTGGTTTAACTGTTAACTGTTAGTATGGCTTACCTAAATAACTGTTTGACAGGTAATATTTTCATATCTCGAACTTCAATCCCAAATGCTGCCTCTGAAGAAGGAGATGAAGATGACTGGGTGTCCAACAAAGTTATGTTTAAAATAGGTAAGAAAGAAAAATAACAAGATTATTATATTTCCTCAAAATAAAGAGGGAGAGGCTGGTTTGTTTTAATTCTTGACTGTATTTTTTTCAATACTTCTAGGTGACCTTGGGCATGTAACAAGAATCTCTAGTCCACAAGTTGAAGAGGGTGATAGCCGTTTTCTTGCAAATGAAGTTTTGCAGGAGGTAGTTTTTCTCCTTTAAGCCATTTGCTTTGTAACACTTATCAGTTTCTAGAAAATTATAAATGCAGATGTACTGAAATCTTAAGCTAATAACTTGTAGAAAGGTAATACAAAATAGAAAGTGTAAACTGTTCGCTGTGGACATATTTAATCTAGCGAAAGTCAGTAAAGGCAAAGATTTATCATATTCAGCAGTGGTGGAGTTGCAGTAAAAGAGAAATTTCCATACACTACTGGTGGAACTTTAAAATGGCATTGCCTTTTTGGGGATCAAAGTGTTAGTATTGGGACTTCCCTGGCAGTCCAGTGGTTAAGACTTCGCCTTCCAATGCAGGGGGTGCGGGTTTGATCCACTGTCAAGGAGCTAAGATCCCACATGCCTCGCAAAACGTAAAACAGGAGCAATATTGTAACAAATTCAGTAAAGACTTTAAAAATTGTCCGCATCAAAAAAATCTTTAAAAAAAAAAAGTTAGTATCTTTCAACATTTTAAAATCATGTACCCTTTGACCCAGAATTTCCATTTCTAGGAGTCTCTCCTTCAGAGATAGTCATATACAAGTAAATTGAGAACGATGTAAATATGTGTTTAGCAGTAAGGGAAAGATTAAGTAAATTATGGCAAACAGTTAATAGTGCTATTTCAAAAAGTGTTGCAAAATATTTCTTGATAAGAGTTTTGAATGAAAATAGAACAAGTAGAACAAATGAAGTGTATGATTCCATTGTTCTTTTTATATGTATATTTGTGTTTTATATGTATATGCATATTTCTGACTTGTTGATATATGTATGTTTTGTATTTTCATATGAATGCCCCCAGGGGGATAGGAGTTTCTTCTGAGAGTTGAGTTGGGCTAGTGATAAAGAAGAGGCCTTTTAGAAATGCCTAAATACTTTTAGAAATGTATTCACTTTTCCACTCCAGAGTGTATATTATATTATCATTAAAAAAAATAATAATCTCCCCAAATTTAGCTTGTTCTCTGAATAGGTCCTAAACTTAAATGTGGCATTGGACATTTTAATTTTGTTTTATTTCTCACCCAAATCATCATTGAGGTGTAATCTTACTTTATTTTGGCCATTTTTATATTCCCTTAAGTTTCTTTTTCTTTTTTTTTTAATTTTACAGAACTATACTCATCTACCAAAGGCGGATATCTTTGCCCTTGCCCTCACAGTGGTATGTGCTGCTGGTGCTGAGCCTCTTCCCAGAAATGGAGACCAATGGCATGAAATCAGAGAGGGTAGATTACCTCGGATTCCACAAGTGCTTTCCCAAGAATTTACAGAGTTGCTAAAAGTGAGCATTTTATATATGAGGCACTTTATTGACATGATTCAATATTTTATTAAATTGCATGTCTTTACATTAATTTTACTTCTCTTTTTAAGGTTATGATTCATCCAGATCCAGAGAGAAGACCTTCAGCAATGGCACTGGTAAAGCATTCAGTATTGCTCTCTGCTTCTAGGAAGAGTGCAGAACAATTACGAATAGAACTGAATGCTGAAAAGTTCAAAAATTCACTTTTGCAGAAGTAAGTGATGGGGTTTTTATTTGTTTTGTTTTTACTTTCTCATTTTTATTCTCAAATTTTAATGAGAGATGATTTAGGCTTTCCATCAGTGAGGAATATAGTGGCTTGGCATGTTATATGGTTAAAGATTGGGGATTTCTGCTTTACATTGGTGTTTGCCCTATAAATTTGTGTTGTTTCTAAAGTTTGAAATTATGGACTTAAAAATTTTTTAAACTTGCATATATTTGCAGTGGTGATAATCCCCAAGCCCCAAACTGTCACAAAAACTAAAATGAGCAGGTATCAGTTTTTTCCCTCCACACACTCAACATAAACTAACATTTTCCTTGAAATGTTCTATTCTACTTATTTATATGAAAGGATGAAATAAATATCGATTAGGTTAGTAGATGATTCTCATATTTGCTCTGAATGACCTTTGACATTTTTGAAAACTGGTTGGAATGATCATTCTGATTCATTTGCTTTATTGCTGCCATTTTGATTCTAACCTAATAAAACTGACTTGAAATATTTAAAGGTTCCTTTGCCATTAGTTTGATAGCCATCATAGTTCATATAAAGAGGAAGTAGAATTTTCCTTTTGTCTGTATTATGTAAAGAGATTTTCACAATATTGTATTTTTTCTTTCCTCAGTTGCATGAGTAATGATATCATGCAAAAGATCTTCCAACTGATAATGTAGTTTGTATTTGGCCTCTTAGGATCCCTTCCTAGGATTAATACAGTAGGTGAAAAGTCTTGTTTCCTATTTTTACGTTGTTAGAGAACTCAAGAAAGCCCAGATGGCAAAAGCTGCGGCTGAGGAAAGAGCACTCTTCACTGACCGGATGGCCACAAGGTCCACCACCCAGAGTAATAGAACATCTCGACTTATTGGAAAGAAAATGAA